GACTCATAACGACCCTCCTTGGGTTTCCGAGGCAGTATCACTATGGAAGTAGGATTGCCCAACCTTCCTTCCAAGGAGTGGCTGGTGGGTTTGAACCTCCAGCCTTCTGGTTAGCAGTCAAGTGCCTTAGGCACTATGGTACCAGAGCTCCTACAGCCTACCATACTCCTTAAAAATTAAGGAGAGCCTCGTTCTTTTTGAATAAGATCAAAATTAACCCTTGATTAACATATGCACGGGAGCTCTGGTAGCACACTGGTTAAAATGCTTGACTGCTAACTGAAAGTTCAGCGGTTTGAACCCACTAGCTGCTCCGTAGGAGAAAGAGGAGGCAATCTGCTTCTGTAAAGATTTATAGTCTTGGAAACCCTACGGGGCAATTCTACTCTGCCCTACAGGGTCACTAAGAGTCAAAATCAACTCACAGCATGGGTTTGGGTTTTGATTGTTTTTAATGTACTCACATTTATGGTTCAAAAATTAAGTCTAAACAGAAACACTTGATGTTAGAGAACTCTGGACTCTAAGTTTTAACCAGTCCTTCCCTCTCCCCCATTAATCCTTACGTTTCAGATATTGTGCAAGCTACATTAAAACATGGTTTCAACTACATTTTAAAGAAATATGTATTTTCTCCAGCACAGACCAACAATACAAAGTAACACAGGTGGGAATCCTAGAAATTCCTTGGTATGTTAATAACCCCAAAGAAAACATTTATTTTAGTCAAACAATCGTCATGTTTGTCTCCTTTTAGAAACATCTGCTGCCAAAACCAACATTTGCATGGGAAGAAGTGTTCTGGCTGTTACGGTGATACCAAAGACAATGCTTATATTCTGAAATAAGTATTTTAACTCAGAAAGCAAGCATCGAAACAGACTCAGCCAAAAGTGCACTAAAGATAAAGACACCAAGGGCAACACCTGAGGATTTGTAAAGTGCCCTTCACAAGAATCTCACTTTTTGTTTTACTTAAAGTGGTAAATTCATATGGATCCCATTAACACAACTAATGAACTCTGATCTAATTTCGTCACAGTCTCCTTCAAAACACCCATCATATTCCCAGCGCATCAAAAGGTCCTCACCATACAAGGAGCTTCAGAAAACTCCTTCAGGAAAGCCCCGCATGGCGCAGCACCAGGGAACTCACAGATCCCTCCTTTTCCCTCCCTCCCTCCCTGGTTTTATAATTCCAACAGCCATGAGGTTATATAAACATCTGTGTGAAGAAAAGTTAAAACATCTACCCAGTCACTCAGGAGAAACCTTGCACTACACAGCTGAAACGTGCCAGCTGCCAAGTCAACCCATCTTGGCTTTCAGAGCTATTTCCCCGGAGCGCTCTATCTTTTATATGAAAATCTGGTTTGAAGAAAGGTGGCCCAGGTCTACAGTCCATTTATGATCATAAAGGGCAGGAAAAACGAAACAACGCAATTGGTCACCCACAGCCCTCACGCAGCAAAGGGTACCTGGGTGTCTCTAAGATTAAAACAAGACAAAATTCAGAGTCAGATTCCAGGACCCTTCAAGATTACACACCCCGCCCGTAGCACCACACTAGACAGAATCAACCAATGGGCGTCTATGAACCATTCCGAGGTTTGAAGTCCAGGAGCCTGGGGCTGCATTTTCTCCACCGAGGCAGAGAAAATTCATTTCCCCTCGCAGTTCAATAAAAACCCAAGTAGACTAGTTTGTAGGGCACCGTGTAAAACTAATCTGTTTAGCCATGTATTTGCACGTGAAAGACCACAAATCCAGTTAATAAAAACTGAAATGATGCACTGGTATCAGGTCATGCTTCAAAGACTCAGCCATGAGGGTATTTCAAAAATGAAATTATCCCCATCCAAATCAAGAATCACCAGGCTATAATACTAACATCAAACTCTCCATGGCTAGTTTTTTCTGACTGTCACAGACAAAAAGTCAGCAGTAATGCTACCCATGGTGCTTTCATATAAGTGCCGCAGCTCTTGCGGATAGAATGCTCATTTAAAATTCATGTCACAGGAATGGAATGCCAGCCAGGAATCAAACTGTGACCCCTGAGCCAAAGACAACTTACCACTCAGCTGGTAAGTGGGCAACTCAATTTACAAACTTGAATTCCTGCATTCTAATCCTTTGCAGAAATATATGAAATGAACTGGATTCAGCTCATTAGAGGTTCACAAACCAAACACAGAAAGCTTTGGAGGCTGTCCAAAGCAAAGTCATGCCTAGGTGGTGATGTCCACTCAATAAAAACCCAATGTCATAATTATCTTTCAACTTTTCCCCTGAAGAACATTAGTAGCCATAACTACAACTATGCTCAGCCAATCACATTAATACCAGGAGGAGATGGATAGGGCCGGCAGCCAATCACTGGGCCAGAACCTTGTTTGTGGACAAATGCATAATTAGCCAAAATTTAGCCAACAAAGCAACTTACTGAAAATTCTTAAAGCAAAGAACACAGACTAAAGCTAACAAAATAAACATATGTGCTCTAATAACATTTACTCAAAATCTTCACCATCTTTTTGCCCCATTTCTAAACTCTTATCAACTAGCCTACACCTAAGTGTTCAAATGAACTTGATATTCTTAGACCTGTCTGTCTCCTTTATGTTACACATATTCAAAACTGCACTCACAACCAGTTTTAGCCTTTTAAACTTGAAAATAAAAGCCTCTATTTCTCAAAGCTGTCTTATAATTAAATGAAAGTGTGAAAAGGCAATGCACTTATCTAGAACCCTTGACTACGATGAACTTGGTATAAAAGTTGGACATTTTTTCAAGCTGGGCTTTTGTTTTTTAACCAGATAAACCATTTTCCTTTCATTATCAGAAAGCACCCTGCTTAATTAGAAGTGGGCGTTTCTTTTGGTTAGTGGTAAAATACCTCGTCTGAAATCTCAACTAAAAATTTGCTGAAAAAATCGGTGAGCGCTCTTCATTAATTTGTCTCTTCAAAGAAATCGAAGACTTACTGGATTTCAAAAGGTTGTAAAGGCCACAGGGATGCGCTAAAACCAAGAAGGTCAGAACACTGCGCCAACCCTCCCTGTGTATGGCCTCTACTTCTGAGTGTTACACATTTCGGGAAGAAAATGACAAACAGCTCTCTTTCCTGACGTAATAATTCTTCACACACCCACTCCATTTGTCCGATTCCCACTACACCAACGTCTCAAGCTTCTAACAAGACTTTAACCCATTCAGAGAAAAGCTACATCAAAGGAGTGTCCTGTTCCTTGTGGTGAAAAAAACTTCTGAAAAGGCGTCAAATTTCACATCAGGGAAAAGTGGGGGACAGGAGGGTAGGGAGCAGGGTCAGCACCCACTCTCTACACTGGCCCTGCTACTTCTTACTGCCTTCCTGCCTTCTGCTTTCTTCCTGTGGCCCAAGGACGGTACAGAACAATTAGCCCCCAAATGAATCACCTCTACGGGGCACAAGGACTCCACCACCTAGCTGCCTGAGCCTGCCTGCCCTCAAACCAAAACCCAATCCCACTGCTGTGGAGTCTGACCAACACACAGCAACCCCCTCCTTGGGATTCCCAGGCAGTATAACTACAGTCGCTATGAGTCGGGGCCGACTCGACAGCAAACAACAACATAACTACAGAAGTAGATTGCCCAACCTTCCTCCCGAGGAGTGGCTGGTGGGTTTGAACTGCCAGCCTTCTGGTTAGCAGTCAAGCGCCTTAGGCACTACACCACCAGAGCTCCCGAGAATTAGTCCTAAAACTCAACAGAGAAAGAAAAGAAAATAAGAGCACAGTTAATTATGCCACTGACCACTCTGATTCTGAACAGGCAACCTGTAAGAACGTGGTGAGAACATTACGAGGGCTGCAGCTAGGATTCAAAGGCCGAGCTACTTTTATCCTTCCCCACAACCCCGCAACCACTCTGAAATAAAAATACCAAAACACAGAGGCAACGAGAAAAAAGGAGGGCTGCAATTCGGTCTCTAGGAGAAAAGGCTCGGAGGCAACTCATTAACGGAGTTAAAGGTACGACTAAGCAGGACACAGAGTGTGTGACGTCATCTTCCACAATCACTTTAAAGAGAACTTTAGTTCTATCCAGGAGGGACGGTGAAACTTGGGCACGGGTTCCCGGTGGCACTAGGGATTAACCTATGCTACCCCAGCACCAGCCCGATGCAACCCTGTGGGGTTTCAGACACAGCACGGGCATTGGTACGGAAGCCTTTCTGGTACTCCCAGTAACTCACAAGTCTGAAGCCAATTTAATCTCTTCCAAATTCCCTGCTTCCTCAGGCCTACAAAACAAGGACATGCTCTCGAGTCCCCAGAGCCTGTACACACGACTGCCAGGAGGGAGATGGTCATTCACACTAACTGCAACTACTGGACTCTACAGAAAAGGAGGAAATTACTGGGCTTTTTTTTTTATTAAGCACATGAAAAGTCTTTAACTAAAAACACAAGCTCTATCAAGATGTCAGAAAACAGACACACAGCGCATCCTTTGATAAGAACACAGAAATCTTTTTCCAAAGTTATAGAAGCAATAATACATTAAGAAATGAAAACAAGTAACTTTCTTTAAAGTTGAAGCCATCTCCACGGGCCGGGCTTTTAAACCTTGAGCCCTCACTCGGAGGGCCCGTCTACGGCTCAGATCTGGCACTGCCTGACATCAGCCAAGTTCATGCCACCGCTGGGAACTGTACCATACGCTGCCCTGTTATGGCACAGGCCACCTTTCAAATACAGTTAGTAGTCTGGCCTTCTACCAAACAAGGATTTTGTCCACTTTATTCTAAAAAGTTCATCCTCCCCTCTTTAAAAGAAAGGAAAAATAAAAACTGCACTTGTGATTATTTTAAGGAAGAATGAAAATTAAAGGAAAGCAGAAAGCCAGTGGAATTCCCCCTCATTCTCTGAAATAACAACCTTAGGTAAAAAGTGAAAGACAAAGACAAAACATTCTTCCAAAGACAGGCAAGTAAAAGCTCCCCAAACCTGCTGCTGAGGGTACTGCATTCCGGCCATGGCCCCAGGGGTGCGGCCTTGGATGCCAATGGGGTACCGCTGGGGTCCGGGAGGGCCGTAGGACCCGCCAGGGTAGGGGCTGCTCTGCTGAGGCTGCGGGTGGGGGCTACTGCCCATGCCATACAGCTGCGGTCTCTTCATCACCATCGGGTCCATCGGACTGCCCTGGGGAGAAACAGAGAGGAAGCAGCGTCATTACGCGTAGTTATTCTTCACGAAGGTTTTGCTACACTTACATATGCACGGTCAAAGCACAACTACTCCTCATTTTGAAAATCTTAAAAACGACGACCTCACAGATAAAAACCCAGAAGAACATTGAGTAAAACGCATGGATGGACATGAGACATTTGCATTCTGCTTCCAGGAAGGTTTTAGCAACTGAGAGGGATCTGTGTAAACGATTTAAGGAGAAAAAAAGCGTCTAAAATTCCCTGGTGCCTACAGAGAACGGGCTCCTATCAGCAAGGAAGACAAAGTACAAGGGCGATCAGCACCCTCCCGCCTTCGGCGTGTTCTCGGAACAACTGTTTTATTCTAGACCTGAGTCTGCAAGTCCTGCTCAAACACGAGCCAGAAAGCGAAAGGGCAGACTTGGGATGAGACGGAGCGTCGAGAGCGAAATTCTCCCAGCTCAGCGGTGCGCACGAGTAAGCAGCCAGGCGAGGCCCGGACCGCCTGCCGTGTCAATAAGCTGCTTACCCAACACGGCCAGTGCAAAAGCAGGCTCTGGATTTTCTTTTTGGTGTGATGAATCAGCCACGGGCGTCCCGGGGCCAAGGCCACACCAAGCGCCAGAAAGGGAGCCTGCCTGGGCCTCCGTGCCCGGGGACTTCGCAGGGCAGAGCAGGCTGGAGCGAGAAGTCCTCCCACAGTGCGACAAGGGCCTGTCAGGCCGGTCACCTCCATTCCACAGATCTGGCCTTCCCTCCCTCAAAGCGCCATCATCATCCCTATGCTGCATGCCGGGCTCCGTGTCCACAGAGGTAACCGTGTGGGACTCTCAGGAAGGCCTGAGGATCAGCAGGGCCCGATGGGGACAAGCAGGTTCAGGGGGAGGGACAGGAAGCAGAGGATTACAAGACAGAAGGCACAGCACAAAGCAAAGGTTCAAGGGAGAGGAAATGCCGGGTGTGTGAGGATCCGGGTGTGAAGCAGGAATCAGCAGAGAAGCGGAAGCAGATAGAAGCCAGAACCAGGATGACCCTCGTGTCTCATCTTAAAGCTGGAGACCTGGTCTCGTGGACGAGCCATCGGGTACGGCTTTGCCCCGGGGAGATCTGTCGGCAGAGGCACCTCTGCGATGGACCGAGCTGCCGGCAGCCGGCTGGAGGCCTGAACTGGCCGTAGAGGCGGGAGAAAGGCAGGCGAGGTTCAGGAGACATTGGGCTTGAAGCCCGACTGAATGATGAGGACAGGAGTCAGTGGTGTTGGGAGACGACAAGGCGCCAACCTAGGCAGAGTAAGGGAGCAGCAGCCCTGCGCCCGGGGAGTGACCAGCACCCCACAGACTGAATGGAGGCCCCCTCGGGAAAGCAAGAAACGATCCAGAAGGAAGAAGCCATGAGCCTGGGGAGTGAAGTGTGACCAGGAAAATCAACGGGGAGTCATCCACTGAGAGAGGACGCATGCACTCTGTTTAGAGCTACTGCTTCTCCAGGGCGTCAATCAGCGCCCGACACACAGCAAGCACCCATTAAATGCAACAAGCAGCGGGTGTGATCCCAGAACTCTACCCAGGAAGAATGGGTGAAACGGGTAGATGACAAAATCCTAGACACCACCGCCATTTACCAAACCAACCAACCTCGGTGCCATCAGTCGATTCCAACTCACAGTAACCCTGCAGGACAGAGCAGAACTGCACCACAGGGTCTCCAAGGCTGTAAATCTTTACAGAAGCAGACTGCCTCACCTTTCTCCCATGGAGCGACTGGTGAGTTTGAACTGCCGACCTTTTGGTTAACAGCCAAATGCCTTAACCACCACACCACCAGAGCTCTCTATCACCACGTAAGGGAGAAGAAATATGGAGTCCACCACAGAGGCCGAAAGGATGCAGTCAGAGGTTCTGGAAAGCACAGTGCCCATTAGGAAAGGAGGTGAAGAGTAGCAGGCCACACACCAAATCATGCCCCACTCCCCAGGATCTGTGCAGCGAACCCCAACACCTAAACCTGTGGGGAGAATTCCACCAGGGAGTGGGATTCTTGGTTACGGAGAGACCATGTCTGTGCAGGGTGTGTTTCAAGATCCCTTTTGAAACATGAGAAGAGCAGAGCAGGGCAGAGGAGCAAGCAGGGCTTGGGGAAAACAGATGCCCACCACACAAAGGTCCCCAAGGAACAAGGCCCTCCCCAAAGCTGACGCACAAAGAGAGCCTTCTACCCCAACGGCTGGTGCCCTGACTTCGGACTGCGAGCTTTCTAAACTGTGAGCGGATAAATTTCTGTCCCTGAAAGCCACCCCACTTGGAGTATTCCTGTCATAGTGGCTACAGAACGAAGACAGAGGCTAACCATTTCTGCTGCCTTGAGACTCGAGGTAACACTGAGCAAAGATGGCAGCAGAAACTGGCATACCAGGAACTGAGGCCCAGGTGGGAGGCGAGGAAAGGGGGCCGCAGACTCACAGTCCAAGCTGGGGAGGGGAGGGGAACCCTGGTCCTCCCTCCTTATGACTCCCACCTCCAGACACACGTGGTCTTTTCCCCTTCCTCCTTCTGATGTCTGCTTCAGTGACTCCATTCATGCCCTCTTCCTGAGCACCCACAGGTGCACTGGGCCAGGCCCTGTCTGTCCCAGACCAAGCACAGGTCTTGGAAGCTCCTCACTGGGTCTCAGAGGGGACCTGAGGAGTTCGCTCTGGAAAGAGTACCAAGAATCCGCCAGCACTGATCTCAGCAGATAAAAGGATGTGCTGTCGGCCACGGGAGGTTGTTGAAAGCCCCACAACCCAGAGAACACCGTTGTGTTCAAAATTCACAATCAAATGGCTTTCTAACAACTGTATTACTTCAACTAACCAAGAAAAGGGTTTGGACTTAGAGTGACAGAA